CCAGGAGCACAAACTGTTGGGTGATGTGGTCGGTGATGCTGTGCTTCGGTTTCATCCTCAGGGCTTGAACTGTCGCCTGCCGCCAGCCCGCAAAGGGCCAGGGCGATCTGCCAGCTCGGGTGTAGCAGTCGGTGTTCGAGAGGACATCGCGTCCACGGTGCCGCCCGACTTTGGAGGAGTGGCGCCACCAGCATGGAGATGGACTACGCAGTGGGTGGATGGCATGTTACCAGGTGGTTTCATGATTGCTTCCATTTGCTTAGGTCCTGGGCACCAGCTCAAGTATGATCAAGTAGTGTTAAAATGCCAACAAGGGCATACTCATGACGTGCATGGAGCAGCTCAAGAGGACCGGCAGGCCCTATATCATTGGAGGTGATTGGAACAGGACCACTCTGAGTTAGAGGACCTCCAAGTGGTGCAGAATGTACCCGCTGTGATCGCTGCGCCACCACAACGGACATGTGCAGTAGTCGTGAAGGGAGGGTGTTGGACTATTTCGTTGTCAGCAAGCACTTCAAGGGCCTTGCCACGGGGGGTGAGAGGATAGCTCCATTGCTACGCGCTGGGGAGTTCGGCTGAAGCTTGGCGTTGGGCCTTGTGCAACACTTCAGCAGCAGCTCAAGCTACCCAAGAAGTTGACGAAGGAGGGCCAAGCAGGAGAACCGCGACCTCCGTCGTCGTATCATAGTATTAATGGAGAATGTGCGCATGCTCGTGCCACAGGGATTTGCAGTGAGATAGCGGAACAGGAGTTCGCTGACCGTTTCCAGCTGGACGATCGTCTACGCAAAGGTTGTCGAGGACGAGGGGAGCAGCCATGGCAAGAGCTCAATTTAGTGGCAAGTGCACGCAAAGCTCCAGGGCATGACGCAGAAGGCAGCACTGCATCACGAACATGGCGCCGAGCCTCAATGGTCATGGTCGACGTCGTGCGTGCGCTGAAGAGGAACGGGGGTGATGGCGGCAAGTTCGTAGAGGACATGTGCAACGCCATGAGGAACCTGAAGAACAAGAAGGTCGACGCGGGGCCGCTGTGGGACATCTGGTGTTGCATATACGATGTTGCGTTTGAAAGGAAGAGGACTGGCTCAGAGGTGCAAATTGGAGCGCTGCGATGGAAGCGACCAGGATCGAGCAAGAGTTCACCAGGAGTCGGGCACGACCGTGGGGGAAGCTAGTCGCTGAGGCTGTAGAGAGTGGCGACACGAAAGCACGCAGATGGTTGAAGCTGCGCCCATCTTGGCAACAGGCTGTTGTCCATCTTTTTCTTGGGATTCAATATCACGGTTCCGGGTCGAACTCTGATCTGGAGGAGTGGAAGAAGACGTGGAGAGTACGCGATGGAGAAGACGGTCTTGGTGCTGGGCCACGCTTGCAGGTGCCGCTGGAGGAGATGCAAGTGCTCTGATGCGGAGCGTACCAGGACCAGCGGTTTCATGCGTGGCACGGCTTCGGGGGCGTGGGCGACCTCGGACCACGGAACCACGGAACATGGCGCTAGGAGGCGCTCGCTGACGTCATGGGGGCAGTGGGAGCTATAGGTGAGCTGCCGCCGCAGATGGCCACCGCCACCATCGTGCCCAGGCTGCCCTGGCCAGAAGGTGGCCATCGGCTCAGAGGCTTGCTCGCAGACGCCCTGATGGCACGCGACGCGGGCCGCGGGCGGGGCCAGGGCGATTGGCTCAGAGCACGCGCCAAGAGCTGTCACTGCGCGACGGCGGGGGGGCTCTGAGCACGCGGCCAGGGCGCAATCCGCGCTGGCTGAAGCAGGTTTGGCGCGCGGCCGCGGTCGCGCTGGATCTCGAGAAGGCGTTCGGGAAGATGCCGCGCGCGAAGTTGTGGGAAGCCAGGCGCAGACGCGGCCACGAGCGCTCGAGTCTCGCCTTGCTTCTCAAGTCGCGCGCGGGCAGAAGGGCGATGAGATTTGGCGAGTTGGTTCCTGAATTCGCCATGACGAATAATGGCGTCATTGCTGGATGTTCTTTCGCCGCGAGGATGGCGATGCTCTTCGCGCCTGGGGCTCGCGAGCAAGTGCGCGCGTTGTGGCCGCCTCTCAGCATCGCCGATAGCATCGCGCAGGTCGTTGAGGATGGCTTCCTACAAGCAACAGGTTCTCACGAACAGGTTCTCATAACGATCGCCCCAGCTGCCAGGCGGTCGTGCGCAAAGATCGCGGACCTCGGGTTGGAGCTCAGACATGGGGCATGCGATTACCGCGTCGCCCCAGCTCGAGAGAGAGAGAGAGAGAGAGAGAGAGAGAGAGAGAGAGAGAGAGAGAGAGAGAGAGAGAGCGAGAGAGAGAGATATAGCCGTTGCGTTCAAGAAGTACCAGCTCCGACGGCACAGAGCAGCGCGGCAACTGGGACATGGCCGCTCCATGAGACGCGGCGCGACCGGGCCAGCGCAGCGAGCGCGGGCCAAGGAGACATCCAAGAGGATTGCTAGATACAGTCGGCTGGCACATGGTGGAAGGCAGCTGGGTAGATTCTTTCGCGTCGGTGGCCTTGCCTCAGCTGCGCGCGCAATCGAAGAAAGAGGCATGGCGGACACGCCGCGCAAGCAGGCGAGGGCCATTGCTGGACACGTGCCGTCAGGCACCGCCAGAGGGAGATGCCTTGCAATGGAGTTTCACCTTCTACAATGGCCAAGAGCTGATCCCGCCTTCGCTGCGGATGAGTACCAACTGGTGCATGGGCCGCGGGCTCTGCACGGGAAATGGGCACGGCGCAAAGTGATGGTGCTGGCGTGCACGAACGGGCAGAATCGGACCCAGTCTTGGCGCGGAGTTCAACGGCCACCAGGCGCTGTCACGATTGAGCTTTAAGAGGCTGGGCTGGCATGCTGTCCCTTGGCGCCGCTGGATTACTAAACGAGGAGTGGCGTGGGACTTGCATGGGCTGGGACCATCTACGCTCGAGAAGATTATCAATCAAGCTACCCAGGTGCGTCTTTTGGCCGAGGTCCCCAAGAGCCGCGACATGGAGCACCTCATGGGCCCAGCCGTGTTGCAGCCTGTCAAAGACTTCCTCCGTGCACTGCATCGGCGAGATGATTTCATAGGTGCTGGGCTGGTCAGAACACGGTTATCTGGTGAGCTGTTTTCTGCCAGGCGCGGCCGTGCAACGCTAGGGCAGTGGGGGGCCCTGCGCGCGCGATTTGCGGCGTTGAAGATGGCGCGGGCTCCCATCGGATGTCCAGGTGCGACTGTCACGCAGTGGAGATGCAGAGCTGGGCGGCAGAGGAGCGAATAACGTCGTCGCGGGGTGCGCGTGAGCACGGACAGGAGCGCCCTCTCACCGTGCTCACGCGCAAGTGGCTCATGCCCGATCCTACCTTCGACCCGCCCCTGCCGACCACGGGTGACATTCTCAACTGGCATGTGTACACAGTCAGTGGTCTTATCACTGGGGTGGTGTGCACCGTTTGCAGCTGCGTGTTCCCTCCGTGAAATTCGGGCTCGTGCTGGCTGGTCTTTCGTGATGATCAATGAAGTGGGCGATGCGCTTGCTGCTGCGCCGGGACCCGCCCCCGACCCCTGGTAGTCCTCAGGTGCTGGCGAGACCTGGGCCGTCATCAAAGCGCTGAAGCAGAAGTCTCAAGGGCGCATCACGATCGTGACGGACTAAAAGGATCTCAAGCAGGCATGGTTGGAAGGTTACCCATGCGGATGCTGCTCCAAGCATCAGCACATGGAATGGAGGCTCATGTTCTGGGACGCCGCGCTCGACATAGGCGTCTCGGAGGTCGACGTGGCCTGGGCCCCTTCGCGCACGACGAGGGCGCGGGCCAGCAACCGCGGCGCGGGCGCCCCCCATCGGAGGGGAAACTGCACTGCGGACAGGCACGCGACGCTGGGCACCGCCTGCCACCCGCGTCAGCGGCCACAAAAGCTGCGAGAACTCAGGGAGGCGGCGGCCCCACTGACCCTGAGGCGCGCGCTTCGCATCCTCAGGCTGTGCCAAAAATGGAGACGGAAGGGCGCTCAGCAAGTGAGCGAGGGAAGGCCTGCGCGTGGCCCCAGTCTGGTCCTACGTGAAGACGGGGGACCACTTAACTCAGCGCTTCCAGGGACGATGGGTGCGTGGGCGGTGCGGCGATAACCGAGCTCGTCGTCGGGACTTGGCTTTCGTGCCGTGTCTTGGGGACCCCAGAGGGGTCCGTGAAGCGCACGCGTCCCACAAGCTCTTGCGGACTGGTCCCATGGTTTGGTGTTTCGAATGTGCTGTTCGGTGTGTTTCGAGGGCTTCTTCGATTTCCAGGCCCTGTTTTGGGAGACCGCCTCTGGAATCTGCGAAGCATGTCAAGCGTAGGTGCCGCATCCAGGGGCGGGGTCCGTCTGGTGAGAAGGTGGGGGATGGTTTCAAGAAGCCTGTCCCCATCTTCGCTCGAGACGATCGGCTGCGGTCGTCTCTCCTCATCATGATGATTTTCGCTTTGACCTGGTGCATCGTTCTCCGTACACCTCGTCGTCACCCAGAGTCTCCAGAGCCTCTTCTTCTGCTCTGCCTCCTCCTTATCATCCTTTTTCTCCTTCCTCCCCCTCATCCTTTTCATCCTTCTCCTCCCTGTTCCTCCTCCTCCTCCTCCTCCTTCCCCTCCCTCCTCCTCCTCCTCCTCCCCCTCTTCGTCCCCATGATCGTTCCTCCTTCTCCTCCTCCTCCTCCTCCTCCTCCTCCTCCTCCTCCTCCTCCTCCTCCTCCTCCTCCCCGTCTTCTGCATTATTCTCGTTCTTCCTCAAACTTCTCCTCAGCATCATCATCATCCCCATCATCATCATAAACAGCAGCATTTACAACATCATCATCAACATCAGCATCAGCATCAGCATCAGCATCATCAGCATCATCATCATCATCATCATCGTCACCATCATCCTGTTCATCCTGTTCATCCTGTTCATCCTCCTCATCCTCCTCATCCTCCTCATCATCATCATATTCAGTATTACCATCATCCATATCATCATCATTATCATTCGTCCGCATCTCACTGATCAGGTGCTTGGGCGCTCCAACCCCACCATAGTGTGCCCGACGGATTACCGGCGGCGCTTCCTGAACTTCCTTCTGCAGGCGTTCGAGGTGGAGGCCGCCGGAAGCCATCCTTGTTCTCCCCCTTGGGGGCGGAGGGGGGAGCGGAGGGATTTGGGACAGAAGAGCAGGGAGGGGAGCGGACGGAAAAATATGTTTTGTGTGCGTGTGCGCGTGCGCGTGCGCGTGCGCGTGCGTGCGTGTGCGTGTGCGTGTGCGTGTGCGTGTGCGTGTGCGTGCGTGTGCGTGTGCGTGTGCGTGTGCGTGTGCGTGCGTGTGCGTGTGCGTGTGCGTGTGCGTGTGCGTGTGCGTGTGCGTGCGTGTGCGTGTGCGTGTGCGTGTGCGTGTGGGCGTGTGCGTGTGCGTGTGCGTGTGTGTGTGTGTGTGTGTGTGTGTGTGTGTGTGTGTGTGTGTGTGTGTGTGTGTGTGTGTGTGTGTGTGTGTGTGTGTGTGTGTGTGTGTCTGCGCGCTTCATGATGACATTGAGACGGCCTGGCGCCAGTGGTCAGAGAATCAACAGCAGCAGTGTCAACGCCCAGAGGGAGTCCCCGACGTCCCTCTGGACCCGCGAGCCTGGACAGAAGGGGGCTGTAAGGTCTTCCCAAGCAGCATCTACGGCCCGACGACTCCAGAGGATGGAGTACCCAAGTTGTGCCCCTGGCAGGGGCGCCGCCCTGGCACGCCTGGTCGCATACCTCATCGAGCAGAAGGGGCGCAATAGCGAGCGAAAGAACAACCTCCTCCAGCAGTGGCTCTCTTTCCCGAGCTCTGACCACCCCCCGCTGCTCTCGAGTCTGGGCAGGAACCCCAACCGGTGCAGTCAACTGCACCTCACGACATTCCTCGCCATACGGGGGGTGCGGAGCCTGTCGTCTCCAGAGCTGGCCCACTGCCAGCCCGGCGTGGAAGACCTAGAGGGTGCGGGCCCGAGCGCCGCTTCCAAGGCAACAGCGAACACAAGAAGGGCCCCATGCAGGCACCCAGACAGGACGACCACACCCAGCGCGAGCGCCGGCAGTTGCCACAGGGCAGCGCCACCGCGGCCCAAGCCCGACCCCAGGCAGAGGCTCCCAGGGGAACCCCGGCCCAACGGCAGAAGACAGGGCATCAGACGTTGCATCCGTCGCGTGGCTGGAAGCCTTCTCTTACCCAGGAGTCCATTGCTGTCGCCCCGCTGCTCCTCGGCCCAAGCGCGGCCGTTGGAAGCGCCGAGGTGGAGGTCGACTGTTCGCCAAGCCATCCCGACGGCAGCCCACAAGACACCGACGCCCCAGATCAGGATCGCCAGGCGCACCCTGGCACGGAGCCCCACACCGCCGACCCCCCTCGCACAGGCGGCTGCCAGCAGCACTGGCCCAGTGGAGGCAGCACAGCCATCCACCCATCCACCGCGGGAGCTCCAGCCCACAGCGACCAATGAGCTAGCCGAGGCGGGTGCGGGCGGGCCCCGGTCCAGCGACCACCGCAGCGGCAGCACAGCAAACGGTCCGGCCGCGACGGCCGAACCCAGCGACGGGGCGAGCGCGAAAGGCCCCCAGGACTAGCGCGCGAGAGCACCCAGGCCAACCCCTCAGCCCCACGACTGATCGTGGGAAGCCCTGGGCCAACTACCGAGGGTCGGGAGTCGGGAGCCTCCCCAGCCACTGGCCCGCCCCGCGCCGTCTCGGAGGTGCGAGCAAGACGATGCTCCGGGGGCCGATCGAGGCTACATCCACGAGGACGACCCCAACGACACCTTGCACGCCCAGCCCCGCAGGATGGTCATCTAGCAGCGGACGTGGAACCACAGAACCAACACCTGGGAGACCTGGCCAGAAGTCGTCAACCAGCTCATGCGGGAATGTGGGGCATTTTGTGTCGAAGGATGGAACGCCTTCTGCGACGACTGGGACGGCAGAGGCATATGGAGGTACGTACAACCCCGAGGGGTATGACGAATTTTGCAGGGCGTTTGTCGAGGAGCTCTATTACTTCCACGACGACATCCGTAGGGCCTGCTGGTCGAGGAGAGACCAGGTAGACTGGTGGGCAGTTTGGGAACGCCAGCTCCAGCGCAACGAACACCAGCGCGACAAGGGCGTGGCAAAGGGAACGGCAGCGACCAGCCCGGGAAAGGCAAGTGGCAAGCCGACCCCACCTGGCCCAACAAGGACCAGTCGAGGCCGCGCCGCCCCGAAGCGTCTGGCCTGCCCGGCCCCGAAGGCCCCAGACACCACGGCCGTGCCCGGCGTCGGCCCGCGCGCTGGCACGCGCCACCTGGACACACCGACGGACACACCCGTCTCCCTGCTGCAGGCAGCTTGCCAGGCGAGGCGCAGACGCTATACTCCATGGGCCTGCGCCCGAGCGCCACGCACCAGGCTTCAGCGACCTGCCCTCCCTGGACGACCTACGTCCCCATCGCCGATCGCGGGAGTCGACCTGCCTGGCCCCCTGACTCGCTACGTGTCAACCTCCCCGGGCGATGCGCGAGGGCCCTGCGGCCGCGCGCTGCCCTCCCCGGATGGTGCGCGGCCCCTGTGACTCATGAGCTTGCGCCGAGTAGGTGCCCAGCCCGCTGCGCACCACCCCGGTGGCGCGTGGCGCTCTGCGGCCGCGCGCTGCCCTCCCCGGGTGGCGCGCTGCCTCCCCGATCCTTCCCCTCCCCCGCTCCGGGGGCCCTCTCTGTTCTCACGGGTAACCGCACCGGCCAGGTGCCCCCAGACCTGCCACGTGCTGTCCGCCCAGACGGCGCGTGGCCTCCAGCGGCTTCGGCCGCAGTTTTGACACGGGACGCTGCGCCGACCAGGCGCCCCAGTCCGGCCATGCGCTGCCCACCCAGGCAGCGCGCTGCCTCCCACGGCCGTCGGCCACGGTCTCGTTTCCTTCCGCCGCTCGGGCCCTGGCCACACGTTGGTCCCCGGGCGTGGCGAGCGACGCGGCAGGCCGTCGCAAGGGGCAGGGGCCGCCCGCCGGGCAGCCGCAGCGCTGGCGCCGGGCCGCCTGGTGCCGTCGCCCCGCCTGCCTGCTGGGGCTTCCCCGCAGGCGGAGCGCTCCTCCTTGCTGTCCCTTCCCTCCCATCCCCTGCGCCTTTCCCATCCTTTCCTCGCGGGCCGCCATGGCGCCAACGCTGCAGCCGCGGCTGGCAGCTGCCCCCTGGCGTTGGCGCTCCTGGGCTCCGCGCCGTCTTGCCGATGGCAGTCTGAAGCCTAGGGTGGTGTTCGTCACTTGCAGTACCTAGGGGGCCCACCTGGACGGCTCCGCTGGGCGTTTCCTCACTTGCAGTACCTAGTTGGTCGGTCCGCGCCTGAACGGCTCAGCTGTGCGCACCCTCGCTCTCCGCGTACTGGGCCCCGGAAGCGCCCGTGGATGCACCGACGCCGCGGCCCGGCCGCTGCCACTGTCCCCGCTGCCGATGCTGGCCGCGCCAGCGCGCTTAGAACGGAAGTCTTCCACCTCTGGTGCCCCCCTCCTCCTCCCCCGCTGCCGCGGCCGCTCTGTCTGTCTGTCTCAGTCTCTCCTCTCGCCTGCTGGGCAATTCGCTCTGCGGTCGCCCCGCATTGCTTTACCGCTGGTGCAGTTTATCTCTGCCTCGACGCCGGCAAACAAGTGTGTCCGTGTGTCCGTGTGTGTGTGTGTGACGTCGCCCTCGAGCGACTGCTGCTGCTGCTGCTGCTCCTCAACCCCTTTGGCTCTCGCCGACGCACGTCCTTCTTTGGACGCACCTCTGCCGGACTGGTCGCTGGCGGCGCTAGCCACGACGCTGCTGCCCGCCCCAGCCGCCGCCCCGTAGGGGCTTGGCCTGGCGGTGCCCGTTTTGCGCCCCGGCCCGGTGTGTGTGTGTGTGTGTGTGGTGTGTGTGTGTGTGGTGTGTGTGGTTGGGGTGTGTGTGTGTGTGATGTGTGTGTGTGTGTGCGTGTGTGTGTGTGTCTCTCGAGCCGTTCGCCCCTACAGCCGGGCTGCTTGCCGTTTGGGTGTTGTTATTTAGTGGCGCCTGCATTAGTGCTGACGGCCGCTCTCGCTTCGCACCCTTAAAAGGGCTGCGAGGGGGCGGGGCTCGTGCATGCTCGTGCAAATTTCTCTCTTCCTGCGTCTGTGCCTTGTGGTCCGTCCGCCTCAGCACCTGCATGACCTCACCGACATTGTCCACGTGCGCTCGTCAGCTTCCATCCTGACCCCTCATCTGCAACGCCACAAGTGGTAATTGAACTAAACGCGCCCCGCCTTAGAACACGTTGCGGTGCTGTCACCAGGCCGTTGGAGGACAAAGTGTATGTGTCTGTGTGCGTGTGTGTGTGTGAGTGAGTGTATGTGTGTGCGTGTGTTTGTATGTGTGGCATGTCGTCTGCTTTCCCCCTGTGCACAGTGTACGGCGACCCCGCTGGGCGTTTGGGACCTCGACTCACTTCCCCTCTTCTTTTTTGTTTTCTCTCGCTCTCTTTCTCTCTT